GTCATTCACTAGATCCCCCCTTGTGGTTCTGGGATTTTTCCTCACCGTTCTTGTGATCATTTTGACCCCACTTTTCCACCATTATTTGCAAAAAAATTCTTTAAAAGTCAGACAAAATGATTTTCTCAATTTTTTTTTCACATTTTGTCTCTCATAGTTGAGGTCTACCTATGATGTCAATTACAGGCCTCTCATCTTTTTAAGTGGGAGAACTTGCACAATTGGTGACTGACTAAATACTTATTTTCCCCACTGTATATGACAAACATGGGAAAGAATGTCCAGGGTTGTTCACAGTGTAGTGCGCTACCTTTGCAGTTTAGAATACACACACATAGGAAGGATGAGTTAAAAAAAAGAGCTTTGATCCTGTGTTTTATACAGAAAAACACTCAAGCGTGCGCTAAAAAAAATGCTCTGCAAGACAGTGCAGACAGCTAAGGAGGGGAGGGGGTGGGGTGGGGTCAAAATATATGGAATGGGGAGGGATACAGGGAGCCAGTGATATACAGGGCAGACTTCGTGCCAGAACCAGTCAGAGGCCTCAAGAGTCCAAACCAGTTATTATCACTCAAAGCATAGGTCACCAGAGTTCAGTTCTCTGTTCATCCAACGCTGCCTTCAGGCCGATCCCAAACACAAATAGAATGGGTAGGGGAGGGTGGGGGAGTCAAGGCTTTCTTCTCACGTGTCATTCCAGGGAAGTTTTTATCAGCCTGTGACCAAGGTCGCAGCTGTGGGAATCTAATGATAAACATAATTGTTTTAGGGCAAGCAGCTTTTCTTCACTGCCTTAAGTCTTAACTGCACCTCTGTGTTGCGTAAATGCCAATGTTCCAGATATGTTTACCACCTCGCCTCTCCCGTATCAAACTTCACCCAGGTGGACTCACTCCTCACGGGCACAGTGCTGGGCTGTGATCCTCGTCAGAACCACATCCAGTCTACGACTTAAATCCCCCATCATTTGAGTCTGTGCATTTGCAGTACGGGAAATCTCATCCAAGGTCCCAGACAACTTCTCACAGGCCCGGACTGCTGTCAGGATCGTTTTCATATTCTGATTGATCAGGATTCCTCYCCAGCCGATCAGCAGGAATCCGATTATCATAAATCCGAATATAAACACATCTTCGACGTCTTCAATGGAAAGAGGGGCCAGGCAGATCAGGTTCCACCCCCAGCTTCCGGTCACACGCCTGGCGGCCACGGTTCCACTGGGACAGCTGCACTCCCCTCACTCTAATCTCAGTGTGGAAAAAATATTGTCGATTGCATTTAGAGACCAGTTGACCAGATCCATAATTCTTTTGTTATCGAATGATATGTAGAAGAAAGGCTTGATCCGGAAGCAAAGCAGGGAAAAGGGGAGGTTTGGGAGAGAGAGCAAAAAGCGTCCAACTCCTCTGAAGGCCAAGCAGAATTTATTTTTTGAAAAACGTATACAAAAATCAATATTAATTTAATGTTGGTTAATTCACCTATGCTGAGAAATATGATGCAAATGACGTTTCTACTTCAACGTTGATGAGATTTGCAAAGAAAAGAAAATTAAATGGTTATCCAACACAAGCACCTGATGTTGATTCAACAGTGAGATGTCAAAATACCAGCTGGGATAGAAGTACATTCTGAGAGTTTCAATAATCTGTCCTCTGGTTCATTAAAAGACTCACAAACAGAGACACTGGGTAATCTATCTTATGTACCAGAAATTTTTTTTTTAATCTGGTGTTGTTGATTAGTCTTTATAGATTGATTTATCTGTATTAGCTGAGCAGAGAGATCAAGCAGAGTGCTGAATGACTGAATAAATGTTTGGGTTGATAGGTAAATGATTATAGTTTAAAGTACTTTGGATAGAAAGGTGCTATAAAAGTACAGTCTATTTACCATTTGTAGAATCAGTGTCTTTGTGTCCTTGTTCCTTTAGGCCTGGATTGGTTTGTATTTTGACGTGATCAGCTGGGAGTGGTCGTTGTCAGATGTAGATTTCTACAACGGTCAGGTCAACTACAGAAACTGGATGGCAGGACAACCAGATAGCCAGTGGTACTCACAAGAATGTGCACGCATTTATTCCTCTGGAACGTGGACGGATAATCTCTGTGATTCACAGTGGACCTCAATCTGCTCCAATGTCAGCGGTAAGAGTTTTTTTCTCTCTATTTCTGCAGTTCATAATAATTTGAACAAATTATGAGATTTTGTTTTCATTAGACCAAATTGGATCTTTGTGCATTTGTTTCTGTTTTACAGCCTTATTTTTTTTGGTCTTTTTTCAGGAACGAATGTGTCTTTTTTCTTCATCAACAAGCTCATGTCGTGGCCCGAAGCTCAGAGCTACTGCAGAGAACATTACACAGACCTGGCCAGCATCAGGAACCAGGCAGACAACGACAAGATTAGCCAGCTGATACCTGGAGTTTACTCCTGGACTGGTCTGTACAAAAACACCTGGAAGTGGTCCAATGGACCCATGTTCATTTACAAATACTGGGCAGCCACGCCTCAGGGTAGTGAAAAGAAATGTGCAGCTGCAGATTTTGGAGTTTCTGGGCTGTGGAGGGACTGGCAGTGTGATGTAAAGAAAGCCTTCATCTGCCACCATGGTGAGCCTTTATTGGACTTTATTTTGTAAATGTAATGCAGCTGGTTAGAACACTTAAGCTAAAATACATTAGAAGAACTTTTTTCCAACAGCAAAAACCAAGCATTTTGTCAACATCAACATAAATTACATGGCTAATATTAGAGTTGTTTTGGTTTTAGACCCGGTGCCGTTTTCAAACTTCACTATGAAGGTGAAGCTGGTGAGTCCTTCTGCTCTGGACCTGAACGACCCTGCAGCTCTGGATGATTTGCTGAACAAGGTAAACTGTGTCTCCCAACAATGAGATCATCCCTTAAAATGCCTGTCACATCATTTTTTAAAAGTGATAAATGCATTTCTGGAAAGATTACATTATTAACATCCATCTGCTTCTTCTTATCCGGGGTTGGGTCTCGGGGGCAACAGCCTAAGTAGAGAGACCCAGACTTCTCTTTCTCCAGCCACTTGGACCAGCTCCTCTGGGGGAATCCCAAGGTGTTCCCAGGCCAGCTGAGAAACATAGTCCCTCCAGCGTGTCCTGGGTCTTCCTCTGGTCCTCCTCCCAGTGGGACGTGTCCAGAACACCTCACCAGGGAGGAGTCCAGGAGGCATCCTAACCAGATGAACCACCTCAATTGGCTCCTCTGGACGTGGAGGAGCAGCGGCTCTACTCTGAGTCCCTCCTGGATGACTGAGCTTCTCAGCCTATCTCTAAGGGAGAGCCCAGACACCCTGCAGAGGAAACTCATTTCAGCTGCTTGGATCTGTGATCCCCATCTTTCAGTCACTACCCAAAGCTCCTGACCATAGATGAGGGTAGGAACGTAGACCCACTGGTAAACTGAGAGCTTCACCTTCTAGCTCAGCTCTCTTCACCACGACAGACCAGTACAACACTCACATCACTGCAGACGCAGCACCAATCCACCTGTTGGTCTCCCGCTCCATTCTTCCCTCATTTGTGAACAAGACCCCGAGATACTTAAACTCCTCCACTTGGGGCAGGACCTCCTCCCCAACCTGGAGGAGGAACCCTACCCTTTTCTGGCTCAAGACCATGGTCTCAGATTTGGAGACACTGATCCTCATCCCGGCCGCTTCACTCTTGGCTGTGAACAGCTCCAGTGAGAGCTGGAGATCAGGATCTGATGAAGCCAACAGGACCACATCATCCACAAAAAGCAVAGAYGYGATCCTAAGGTCACCAAAAAGGATCCCCTCAACACCTTGGCTGCTCCTAGAAATTCTGTCCATAAAAGTTATGAACAGAATCTGTGACAAAGAACAACCTTGGTGGAGTCCAACTCTCACCAAAAACAAGTCCGACTTACTACCAGCAATGTGGACCAAGCTCTGGCACCGGTCCTACAGGGACCTAACAGCCCGTATCAATGGGCCTGGTACCCCATACTCCCTGAGCACCCCCCACAGGAGTCCCCGAGGGACATGGTAGAACGCCTTCTCCAAGTCCACAAAACACATGTAGACTGGTTGAACTCCCCTGAACCCTCCAGGACCCTGTTGAGGGTGTAGAGCTGTTCCAGTGTTCCACGACCAGGACCAAAACCACACTGCTCTTCTTGAATCTGAGATTCAACTATACGACAGACCCTCCTCTCCAGGACCCCTGAATAGACCTTACCAGGGAGGCTTAGAAGTGTGATCCCCGTATAGTTGGAAAATGCTCCCCTTTTTTAATAGAGGGACCACCACCCCGGTCTGCCAATCCAGGCAGTCAATCCTACCCTGATTGTCCACACAATATTATAGTCTTCCATCAACCAACCTAACCCTACACCATTCAGAGACTTGAGGAACTCCGGGTGAATCTCATCCAACCCCAGTGCCCTGCTACCAAGGAGCTTTTTAACCACCTCTGTGGCCTATGCACCGGAGATTATTAACATAGGGCAAACAAAAATTTCACACATGAGCAGTTGTTGAGATATTCACATGTTCAGGAAGTGACATCAAAGTGGAATGTTGTCATATAACTAGAACTTAGCTAACAGCTAACAACACACTGTAGAGAATAATCTGATGTTTCTTTATAGATTATTTTGAATTTCTATTAGACAGATGAAGACGAGTCAAAGTTCAGATAATATTGTTTCAATAAATGAAGACCAGGGCTGTGTCCAAAACGGCAGGCCGGGTCCTCCGAAGGCTGAATTTGTCGGCCGCATACGTCACAGCGCCGCGACAAAGGACGTCCAAAATCGAAGACTCCTCCGATTGGCCCGATTTGAAGAACAGGTCTGATGGATCCTTCCTGGCCCAGCATATCCCATAATGCATTGCGGCCCGACCGGAGATTTTTTTTATGCTAGTAATGGTGGACGAAGCGAGAGAAAAGAATACATTTTAAATAAAAATATGGTGATATAAAAAATAAAAAATTTAGCGGTTGTAATTCTAATACTTTTATCATTTGTATGGACATGTTTTTAAATATCATTTTTTCGTCATAAAACACGCAAAATAAACATGAACCTACAGTGGGTCAATTAGTTTGTCAAATGATACCTTTAAGTTAATTTTATAGTTTTGTGATATTAATAATGCTAATACATTGATATTTTTCTAATTTTGATTTAAGTTTGCTTGTTTAGCGTCGTCACAGTTGCTAGGTGACATGACGTACGCCAGGGTAAGGAGGGGAGGCTAGACCGTCCAAATTCAAAGCCTCTTTTTTTCCGGTCTTCCCGGTCTACCAAGGACCCGGCCCGCCACGACCGGGTAGTCTGGGTCCTCTGGAGGACCCGGCCTGTCATTTTGGACCCAGCCCAGAGTTCATTTTTAAAGGTGTTCACCTTTGATGTCACTTCCTGTTTCACTTCCTCTTTCACTTAGGTCGAGTCATGTTCAAAACAAAATATGTCAGTTATGTGACAAAATGGGTGAAGCTCATGAATCATTCCAAGTAACTTTAATATAAATATGGTTTCTTTGATGTTTTGTATTTGAAAAACTTGCATGTCACAGGAACTTTAATATTAATTTGCTGTGGCGGCCATCTTGAACTTAATGGACTCCAGACGTTAATGAGTTGTAGATGTCTACCCAGTAATTACTTTGAAGTATTAGATAAAATCTATGATGTAACTTTATCACCCACTGTTGCTATTATGGGCTGATAAGTTATAGCACTTAAACCATCTTAACACATTAGGTCTGGTGGCTCATCTTGAGCCAAGGGCAACGGAGGTTTGGAGTTTTTGTCTCTGATTGAAGCCAAATCATCAGGACATTAAATTCTCTTTATGTTTCAGCTGAAGCAGAGGCTGAAGGACCAGGGAGTGACAGCCGACATCACACTGAAGTGGAGCCAGCAGCCGAATGGAAACATCTTCTTTAAAGAAAAGGACCAGAAATAAGGAGAGACTGATGTGAAACTCCTGTGTTCTGAAAGTTTAACTTGTGAAGTTTTAGTTTTAACACAACTTTAGTTTGAAGATTTTATTACAAAACCAAAGATTAGTTTAAATAATTTAGGAACAGAAAAAAAATCCAGTTCAGTTTGTGTTTGAGGACAAAAACTACCAAATTAAATTCTAGCAAAAACCTATGATACTATTTACATATATATTTATTTTTGGTTTAGTTAAATATATGAGTGAGTTTTAAACCATTTGTTTAGTTTTGTAGAATTAGAGGAACAGGGTTTTATGAACCTTAGTGAAGTGTTATAAGTATGAAATATGTTCTGTCTGTAAAACTCAGTAGATCCAGAGATGCAGGTCATTTTATTTCATCTGCAGTTTAAAAAGTTTCTTAATTTAATTTGCTCCCTTTATCCTAAAAACATATAAAAGTAGAATGTTTGGGCTGATGGTCTAATACAATAAATAATCTGAGTTGTCCCTGAAATTTGTTTAATTTAAGTAATTAATTTATTATTTATTAATATTAATTAAGTCTGAATGTTTCAAACATCTGAGATTTTCAGTTGTTTGAAAACTCTAATTTAGTGATGATGATGTTGATGAATCATCATCCATGGAGGTCTTGGACCTGATTGGTCCAAACAGCAATTCATGTTACTCAGATGGACAGAAGACAACAAGGAAATTTTCGTCCCTCCCCTGGACAAGTTTCCACACTCTATGATCCATACTACTGTATATGTTATATACTTAATGTTCAATGCTATATGTTCCATACAACATGCTATATATTATACATTCTACATTATAGGTTCCATGCTTTATGTTCCATACTACATGTTATATGTACACTGTATGTTCCATACTACATGTTATATGTACACTGTATGTTCCATACTACATGTTATATGTACACTGTATGTTCCATACTAAAGGTGCCATACTGTATGTTCCATACTACATGTTATACAGTATGTATGCTGTATGTTCCAGGTTCCCTACCCCATGTTCCATACTACATGTTATGTATGATAAACTGACAGGATGCAGTAGTGCTGTTGGACCACTGGACCCTTTGTCTGGCCATGTGTCTGTTAGAAATTTTGGGGTATTTTTGGATTCTGATTTTAAATTTAAAGAACAGGTCAGTGCAGTAGTCCAGTCTAGCTTTTATCATTTGAGACTTATAAGTAAAGTCAAGGATTACCTGCCTCATAATGCACTTGAGAGGGTTATTCATGCTTTTATCACTTCTAGACTGGACTACTGCAACTCTCTTTATTGTGGGATGGATCAGTCTTTGGTTCGTCGTCTACAGCTGGTTCAGAACTCAGCTGCCCGTTTATTAACAGGGACAAGACGTCGCCAACACATCACTCCAATTCTGTATTCTCTTCACTGGTTGCCTGTTTCTTTTAGAATTGTTTTTAAGATTTAGTTTTTAGTTTTTAAATGTCTAAATGGTTTGGCACCTCATTATCTCACTGAGCTTTTACAGCCTCACATTCCAAACAGATCCCTGAGATCTGTAAATCTAAAGCTTTTAGTTGTTCCCAGGTCTCGGCTTGTGACCAGGGGAGACAGAGCCTTTTCAGTTGCAGGACCTCGGCTCTGGAACAACCTCCCACTGTCTGTGAGGTCTGCTGGGTCTCTAAATGAGTTTAAGTCTCTGTTAAAAACTCATCTGTTTAAACAGGCTGAAGAGTCTGAAGAGCAGGATCATTAGGCCAGCCTTTGTTTTGTTTCATTTTATTGTTCATTTTATTACTGTACTTTGTTCATTGTTTTTATTTTATGCTCCTGTACAGCACTTTAGTTTTTATTGTGCTTTATAAATAAACGATGATGATGATGTTATATACTGGATGTTCCATACCATGTGTTCCATACTCTACGTTCCATATTCAATGTTCCATTCTACATGTAATATGCTGATGTTCCATAGCAGAACCACTCCTTTTAAAGACAACGTCTGAATAAATTTACATTTCTGCTGTGTGGAGTCAGTAGGGTTATGAAACCTTCTAAAAACAGTTCAGGGGCACCGTTTTTTCTAAAAGTCTGATCTGTTTTTCAGAAATGTAAACATGTAAAATATCGGGCCGTGTTTTCACGACACTGTTTTACGACAACAGCAGCTGTTTTATCTGACACACAAACTTTTAGAATCTCAGAGGTGAAGGTTTTGGAAACCGTTGGTGTGAAATCAGTCATGAGCACGACAGACGGCTGCAGGCAATAGTTCCTCTGCGTAACTAGTCAAACAACAGTAACAGTGGTGGATAGCAGACCGACTCAGCCTCATCCTGATTTCAGATGAAGGTTCATGTTCTCACTGTCCTGGATTTATCTGGATGTGTGCTCCAGTCTGAAGAGCCTGAAAGACAAAAACAACAGCACCAGCTAGTGTCCTGACATGGAAACCACAGCAGATTCACAGTTTATTTCTTATTTTTTGCAACTCATCTACAGAACTGCAAGCCCTGCTTTACAGGGTAAAGTTGCATCTTTTCGGAGAATCTGCAGAATTTGCAGAGATCATTATTGTGGAAACAGGAGAACATCGTGAGCCTCTGGAGTCAAATGAGTGTTTTGTCATTTAAATTCTGTTTGAACTGTCATGAGGTGTCTCTTTTAGTCAGAATAAACTCCTGTCATCTAAAATGCAAAAGTCTAAAGTGAAACATTTTGCATGTTCTTATTGATAGTGAGAAGCTGAGTATCTGGAGTCATAACTCGATGAACAGGGAGCAGAAAGGATGGACAAAGTCCTTCTCTACATCATCGCTGCATCAGGCGAGTTGGTTTTATGTCTTTTATTCAGTTACTGTGGAAGAAGCGTAGTGTCATATTTAAATATTACATTGAAAACAGTTCAGTGGAAATCTGTTGAAGTTTTAGTCTGGTTCTGATCCGTGAGCTGACATCTGTTCCTGCAGCTCTGTGTGCCGTCACCTCTGCCGTTAAACGTCAGTACCACTTCATTTATGACCCAAAGAACTGGACCGAGGCTCAGAGCTACTGCAGAGACCAGTACACAGACCTGGTGACGGTCAACACCTCAGCTGTTGTGACCCTGCTGAACAGTAAAGTCGTCCTGAGCCAACTGGGCTCCAACAAAGACGTAAATTAATTTTATTCCACACATACACACTCGTGCAGGTACACGATCACCTGCCTGTCATGGTGGTGAGCGGCAGTGAAGGAAAAAAATGATCTCTTGTTTCCATCAGGCCTGGATTGGTTTGTACTATGATGTGATCAGCTGGAAGTGGTCGCTGTCGGACAAAGAGTTCTACTCAACATCTTCTATTCCAAAAGCTGCAAACTACAGACACTTTGCATCAGGAGAGCCCAACAGTTACTGGTTCACCGGAGAGTGTATTTTTATGTACGACAATGGTCTGTGGAACGATGCTCCCTGTGAGTGGACCTATAACCCCATATGTGCCGATACCAACGGTGAGTAATTTAACAAATCTAGACTTTAACGCAGAGTTTTGTTTTATGATTCCAGATTCTGTTTTTGGTCTTTTTCAGGGACAAACGTGAGTTTCGTCTTCATCAACAAGCTCATGACGTGGCCTGACGCTCAGATCTACTGCAGAGACCATCACACAGACATGGCCAGTGTCCGGAGCTTCGCGGAAAATGAGCAGATAAGAACACTGAAACCTGCAGGACTGATTGTCTGGATCGGTCTTTACAAAGACACCTGGAAGTGGTCCAATGGACCCATGTACATATATCGTCCCTGGCAATGGACACCAAGAGGAGGATTGTATAAATGTACTTCCGCAGCATTTGCATCCTCTGGTTACTGGCAGGACTGGACATGTGACATGAAGAAAGCGTTTATCTGCCACCACGGTGAGGGAAGACTCTCACACTTTAGTTCACATTTTAAGCTTAAAAAGGCTGTTTTTTCAGTTTTATTAATGTGACCAGTGGATTAGGGTTAGTGTTTTGTTAGATTTAGTCATCTGTTGATCTGATAACTGTTTGCTCAAAACACAAAGTTTCAGCACAGCATAAAACAATCTGTTKTCTATTACCATAATGATAAAAGTTAGGGTTAGTGTTTTTTATGTTTTCATATTTATTTCTTTAAATATTTTAGGTATTTTCTTACAGGTTATTAACCATGTCATTAATGCCAAAGTTAAAACGATGTAAACTCTGGTTGAATGATATAAGTAGAGCAGAAAATTCTTCAGGTGGTACGGTTAGGGAGGTACCGTCAGGTCCTGTGAGTTGCACCGTCAGGTTGTACCTTTGGGTTATAACTTCTGGTAGTACCTTTGGTTTGTACCTTTTGGTGGTACCATCAAGTGGTACTTTTGAGTTGTACTTTTGGGTGATACCTTCAGGTGGTACCATTAGGTCAAACCTTTGGGTTGTACCTTTGAGTTGTGTTTTTGCATAGTAGCTTCAGGTGGTATCATCGGATTGCACCTTTAGGTGGTATCTTTGGGTGGTACCTCTGGGTTGTACCTTCAACTTCAGTCTTTATACATCAAGTGTATAACGCCACGTCTCATGATGCGAGACAAGTGGAACTGATTTTACACGTCTTTTGTCGACTGAACCTTTGTCTGATTGTTAACACCAGGAACACTCTTGGAGCTCCCAGCTGAGCTCTTCAGCTACATATAAAAGAAAAACTCAATATGAAGACTAAATAATATTTTGTATCTAAGTGTTCACCCAGAAGTCATGCAGCTAATGAAATGTGTTTGCTTTTGAAGATCCGGTGCCATTTTCTAGGCATATTGTAAAAGTGAAGCTGGAGCCGAACCCGTCTCTGGATCTGAATGATCCTGCAGTTCTGGGCGATCTGCAGATGAAGGTAACAGTCAGTGATGAATATCTTCTTTAAGTTCATGTTTGCTTCTTAAGAAGTTGAAGGTTTGGTTTGGATTATAGATTATTGATGATTAGTTGTTTTGATCAGAGTCATATTCACAAAACTTCTAACAGACGGAGGATTTAAAAGTTTTTAGCTCTGTCGCCAACAATCTGACCATTTTATACTTGTATTGGATCCTGTTCCTGGTCTTGGAGAACTGATGCCTAAAGTCCAGCAGGGCTGGAGGTGGGACATCCAGGACATGTCTCCTGTCCATCTCAGAGACAAATGAGACAAGTGCAGGCCTACAGGAAGAACATATAACTGCACATTAACTAACTGCACCATTCAGGCTGTTAAAGTGTGTTTTTCTGTGATTAATACGAAGCTGCTAAGAAATGATGATTCTGTTTCAGCTGGAGGAGAAGCTGAAGGAGCAGGGAGTGACAGCTGACATCACACTGAGCTGGAAGACACAACCGAAAGGAAACATCTTCTTTGTGGACAAGAAGGACCAGAAATAAGAGACAGACGTGGATAAAAAGTCTGTTTTAGGAATCTAAAGGTTAATTTTAAAAACAGTTTATAATGTAAACAGGATTAGAAGAGAAGCCAAAAAGATGGATCAGTTTTAAAAAGTGTCAAACTGAAGCTGATTAGCTTCTCTGTTAGAATCCTGACCTTTAGGATTTGTGATCAGGTTTATTCTTTCTTTGGTTTTTGAGTCTTTCCTCTGATTGGTCTGTGTTCTCCTCTGGTCTCTCAGCCGCTCTGCCTCCTCACCTGTCATGATTAGGCTCCTCCCCCTCAGCCTCGCCCACATTTCCTTACATTGAGTCTGTTCTTCAGGCTCCTCACATCAGCTGATCATAAAGGTTCTGACTTTAATCATAATCCAGTTCCAGATCCTGGATTTTCTCTATCAGATTATAAATTTCCATTTCTGTGGCACAACTTCAAAAAAGGTTAAGAATAATTTTAATTCCACTTTTAAAGCTGTGTGAATGTTTATTAAGCGTCACATTATTCAGATGATCCATTTATTATTTGAACAGTTTTTTGGCTTTTAACATTTGTGCTACTTAACCAGTCCTGTATCAAAACCTTCAGCTCATTCGGCTCATTTCTGGATTGGGTGCGATGACTTCTGTTATTTCAGCAGTTTATACTTTTTCAGCTGTTTCAATTTTTTTGAGCCACTTTTGCTCTCATTAAAAATGAATGGAGCCGTCTTCAACATCCTCAAAACTGTTTAATCAAAAAATATGTTTATAAATCTTTACTGCACCTTTAACTCTAAATCTTTGTGCTCATTTCAGCCTTTTTCAGCCTCTTTTATTTAGCTAATTTTAGCCTCTTTTTTCCTATTTTAGCTGTTGTTCTGCTCCTTTCTGCTAAATTTCTAAATTTTGTGCTTCTTTCTGATTTTTTTCCATTAATTTAGACAGTTTTATCACTTTTCTGCCTTTTAAGCTACTTTTTAGCTTATTTCATTGTTTTTAGCCATTTTATCACAAATTGTAGATTTTCCATTCCTAAATAATTTTTCTGCTGATGTGAGCTATTTTACCATCTGTCTGCTCCAACTTGTTTCTGCTGTTTTCAGCTAAATTTCTGCTCTATTCTGCTTTTTCAACAAAATTTTTTGACTTTTTTTTCTGAGTTTTCACTTTTTTCTTCTACTTTCAACAAATTAAATTTAACTCACGTGAACAGTTTTGTTATTAAACATTTTTAGCTTCTTCAGCAGCTTACAGTAAAAGTCTTTCAGCATGAAGCATTTGGTGTGTTTTAAATGCAAATCCTCTAGTTTAACTTGTTTTTATAGTTTTTTTGTGTTCCATGCTGACCTGTTATAGAATGAACAATAATTATTTTATTAACACCATAATAACATGTCATATCATATATTGTTGTATAGCATTACAACATTAACATGAAGATCTCAAACTAAAAACCAACTTTAATTATTCATTAAATGAAGTTTAATTTGTCTCAGTATATAATGACCATGCAGGGTGGGGGGCGGGGATGGTGTGACACTGGCACATCGCTCCTAATATGACAGATTTTCTTTTCTGGATCTCTGAGAGCAGAACCTCAATCTGCAAACTCACAAAGTTCTTCTTTTAAGTTTTCACTGTCATTTTTCATGAATGGACACTTCCTGGTATCTGGGGCAGGAAACGTAGCCTTATATGGTGTTTTTAGGGTGGTAATTATGCTAATTTCCTGTCCTCGTGCACCAGCAGCTGGACACGAACAGGTGACATTCATCATGTTTACGCAGCTCATTTACGCACTTTTCCTGAAGACAGAAGATTTTGTTGAATCTGACGTGACATGTTCGTACGAACCCTTTGTACGAACAAAAGTAAGAGAAATTTAGGAGAAGAATATGAAAATGTTCTTGCATGAGGCCCAATGATTCTACTACAAAGATGGAGTTAGATTAGCATTATCAGAATGTATAAACAACAGACACCACCAGTACCTGAAAAGACTAAAATACTGCTTGTACTATAGTATACTGCTAATAAAGCTTTTCTAATTAAAGTAGGTCATGGTTCACAAACCTAAATCCACTATAGAAATGGCCTGCAGTGTGAATGTAGCAGACATGACTTGTTGTGTTTTACTAAATATTTAGCTGTGGCTACAGTGTAGCTTACCATCATCAGTGTGTGTCTGATTGGTGTATCCCACAGGACAGGATGAAGCTCTGTACAAGTTAAGGCCATTTGTGATTCAGACCAGGCCTGTTAGTTGATAAGAGGTAAATAATGTTTATATTAACAAAATGTTTTTTTGTTTTTCTCTTCCACAGACGTGGTGATAAAGCAGTTTCCAAACAAGCCTTCATTCACAGAAAATAACTGACAGTTCCCCTGTTCCCTGAAGGACAAACTGTGAAGCGTTTTCATTAAATGTTTGGTTCATGTGGTTTTATGCTGTTTCTAATGTAAAGTTTGGAAATAAATTCACTATAGTTATTTCTGTGTGTGATTTGTTAGTTGTTTTCATGCAGAAACCTTAAAAGTTGCCTTCTTATGCAATTTATATAGTGTACTTTTCAATACTACTGACAATGTAAAATAATTTTACAGATTTTATTTAGTTTAATGTTTTAGTCAATATTTTAAACATGCTGCTGTGCCTTTTAATGTAAAGAAATTTTATTTTGTAATGTAAAAGATATTAACGTTTTTGAAGATGTCTGAATGTGTCTTAAAATACATTTTTAATGTCTTTTTTATTATGTTAAAAGAGCATTTTGAATGTATTTATAAAGCTTCAGAGTATTTTAATGGTTGCTCTTGGAGTATATTAACAGTACATTTATAATGATCTGACAGTCTAATTAAAATACTTTGAAAATACATTTATGTAAAACTTAAAATATATTTAAAGTGTTCTTCAAGAATAGCACAAAGAATATTTTTGGTGTATTTTAAATATGTATATTTAAGCTAAATTAAAAATACTTAAAATTGTTCCATTTTAACACAATTAAGTACACTAAAATATATTGCAAATAACCTAAAGATGTCATAGTTTCTGGATCTAGTCTCGTTTTGTTTACAGTTTTAGCTCATGTCATGTTTTCAGCAGCTCCTGTCACAGCCCTGCTTCCCCCTCCCCTCACAGTTCCTCTGCTAATCATCTGATTCGACTCACCTGTTGTCCTGTGTATTTAAGCCTCACTCTCCCACAGCTCCAGTGCCAGTTTATCATCAGCCCTGCCTATGATTCACCAGCTATCTTGTTCCTTGTCCCGTTCTGACCTCGGCTCCTCGACCCTCGCCTTGACCCACGGATTATCGCCTTACGCCTCTGCCCATGTCGGAAACCTTCAGCCATCTGCTCCTCTGGTAATGACCCTCGTTTTGTTTCTCGGACTTCTGCCTTTCGCCTTCCCCTCTCTCGGCACCACGACATTTCGGACTTCCTGGTT